TAAACTTATAGACAAAGTCCTCACCGCCTTTGAAAAAAAACTTCCTGTAATGAGTATACATTTTGACTTAACTAAAGCTTTCGATCTCCTCAATCATTCTTTGCTACTCAAGAAATTACATTTATACGGTCTCTCTGAAAATGCCTTAACGCTCATTGCTTCATATCTTTCTGACCGTAATCAGAGAGTAAAAAATGACTCTGTCAATGGACCCATTCTTTCTAGTGTCTTACCCTTAATGACCGGAGTCCCTCAGGGATCAATTTTAGGCCCACTTTTATTTATCATTTTCATGAATGACCTTCCCTTTAATGTTAAATACCCCATTTTACTGTTTGCGGATGACACTTCTGCCTTAGTTGAGGGTGGAGATGTAATACTTAAGGCTCGTGAAAAGTATGATCAGGCCTCCGCCTGGTTTAATGTCAACGATCTAACGGTTAATCAAAGGAAGACGCAAGCTTTAATGTACTCAGCCGGTTCTTGTAATGCTCCATCCATTGATTATTGTATTCTAGGAGACTCAAATAGTATTCGATTGGAAAACTCCGTTGAGTTTCTTGGTATCCAAATAGATAAAGGGCTCACCTGGAAAGAACATACCAGTAAAGTCATATGTAAATTAAGCCGAGCATCTTGGGCCCTGCGCAACCTGTCAAGAATATCTACCCTTCAGTGTTGCTTAGCATTCTATCATGCCCATGTTGTTTCCCATATGAGATACGGACTAATCCTGTGGGGCCGTAGCACTGGAGCAGAGCAAGTTTTCATGTTACAAAAAAAGCTCGTCAGAATTATGTTTAATATACCCTGGAATGCCCACTGCCGCCCAATCTTCATAGAGCATAGATTGTTCACCCTGACCTCCCTTTATATCTTGGATAGCCTAAAGTTTGCAATCTCAAATGGATTGGTATCTCCCTCTGATCTTCTACCGTCTCATAATTACAACAGCAGGCATAGAGATATCAACAACGTTAAAGTCCGACTGAAACTATCTGAACATAAGATTGCAAATTTTCGGCTATCCAAATTATAAATGCTCTACCTTGGAATATTAAACAAAAACTCCGCGACGGTGATATACAGACATTTTTCAATTTACTTCGAGATCTACTTTTAAGGAAGGCATTTTATAATTTGAACGAATTTCTAAATTCAGCTGTTGTGTAATGTTCTATTAAACACCACCAAATGTAACAGTTGTAATTTATATTTTTAATTATTGTATAGTATTTTTTGACCTGTGCCATAGCCCTAATAATGTGGCTCACATGTACGAAAGTTATAATAAATAATAAATAAATAAATAATAAATCGATCTGTGGCAGAATATCTTCTCCGCACAAAGTACATTTGTGGTAGTTTTTCCGATTATCGTTGCCGCACAAAATCATTTTCGCACAAATCAGATCTTAAACGTCTGGCAACATCTACTCAACATTATATCTACATCAACTTGAGTAAATTTTTAATCGCGCATGTTTCAAATTTTATATTTTAATCGTAATATTTGGTATGCATTTTTAAAGCATGTCTAAAATCGATATCACGCCCGAAAATTAAAGATAATTGAAAGCAACCGGGGTAAAAAGAAGTTAGTACATAAGAATGTGAAATATACTGTGTTCACTAATTTTTCTTGAATATGCCTCATATTTTTCTCGGCGTTGCCATATAATACAGAAAATTATTTGTACAAAAATGGTTTTTTGCGGCAACGATAATCGGAAAAATTGACTGCAA